AAGTCAAAGTCAAAACACTTTATTTCATTAATTACAATGGTTCCTCTGTTTACATACATAGTGACAGGTACAGTATAATTTAATAAAACCTAGTCGAAAAGTTTCCTGAGGAAATTATAAGGAAAATGATTAATGACAGGTATGTAATTCATATTATAAAAGATCTTTAGATACGAACACATACAAATATAGGCATACCAGACGAGCAATATTTTTTTAATGCAGTAAATTGATATTTTTTTATTCGTATCATACCGGCCGACCGCGGTATGAATCCGATTATTTATTTTACATACTCAGTAAAGAATTAAAAAAAAAGAAAAACAAACTATCTGGCCCTTGTAACTTCCGCCCCCCCCCCCCCCACGGAACCGAAGCCCCACAAGGAACAGGGGCGAGCGAGACTTAATAAAAAAGGGGGGGGGGGGGAAAGCAGCCAAGGTTACTGCGTCTTGGAAGCTGCTTGGAAAGGAAACGAGGAAGGATGAAGTACTGGACTCGGGTCGGGGACGAGTGGGTACGGAAAGCTACACGTACATGCATAGTATACGTACATATATTCATGCGTACATATGGACATACGTACGTGCATATGTACATACATATATATGACATATTTTTTGGTCATTTCCATCCACGGAGCGTTTGAGAGTGAAAATAAGAAGCATAGGCAGATAAGAGACCGAGAATGTGTCGTGGCTACCATTGTCCATACCATTGCTCGGCCTACAAGTCACCGTAACCCCCACCCCCCACCCCTCCCCTACCCACTAACCTCGCCCACCTCGCCTGGAGATAGATAGGTCTACTGATTACGTGCTGGCCTCGGCCTACCTGTACTGTACGCTCGTATTTTTTGTCCCATAATTGCTCGTAAACAGCTCTCTTGCCTGCCCAAGTGGCTGCTTGCGTCGGGAGGAGAGACGGGAATGCACACACACACACACACAAACCACACACACACACACACACACACACACACACACACACACACACACACACACACACACACACACACACACACACACATCACAAACACACATACGCAAACACACACACACACACACACACACACACACACACACACACACACACACACACACACACACACACACACACATCACAAACACACATACGCAAACACACACACACACACACACACACACACACACACACACACACACACACACACACACACACACACACACACACACACATCACAAACACACATACGCAAACACACACACACACACACACACACACACACACACACACACACACACACACACACACACACACACACACACACACACACACACACACACAGAGGGAGGGGGAGAGAGAGAGAGATAATATGCAATGATAATCTATCTCTGTATATATCTATCTATTTATCTTGTCCACACTCACTCTCGAATTATTTTTTGTTTACTGGAAACTATTTTTATTCCCTAAAGACAAATAAAATCTTTGCTGAAAACTAGGAAAGATAATCGAAGTTCTTTTGTGTAATAATGTATTCTTTTTATAGAATTGTAATACACTAAATTTTCCGAAAGGAAGAAGAAACAAACAGACAAGGAAAAGGAGGAGGAGAAAAGGAGGGAGAAGGAGGAGAAAGAATGAAGAGGAGGAGGAGGAGAAAGAAGGAAGATGAGGAAGAGGAGGAAAAAAGGAGAAGGAAGGAAGAGGTGAGGGAGGAGAAAAAGAAGAAGGAGAAAGATGGAAGAGGAGGAGGAGGAGGAGGAAAAAAAAAGGAGAAGAAGAAAACCTTGGACCTTGGTCGTGGGTGAATAGCAAGGCATCGAGATAACCTCACAACATCCTCTCTTTGGAAAATATGAAAGCCTAACCGTCTGCTGTTAATTCAGGCAAAGTGCATTCTTAAACCAAAACCGTAATTTTCCACCAGGTAAATGTAGGCAGGTGGAAGGAAGGGCAGGGAAAAGGGCACAGGTAGACAAACCCAACAGTGACAAATGTTTTGAAAAAGGAAGAAGATACTAAAGGTGACAGTAATGACAGCCATTTCGATGGATATGTTTATATACATGTCTTAGTTACAAAGTATATAGTTGTTTTGAACTCACTCTTTCTCTCTCTCTCTCTCTCTCCCTCCCTCCCTCCCTCTCTCTCTCTCTCTCTCTCTCTCTCTCTCTCTCTCTCTCTCTCTCTCTCTGTCTGTCTGTCTGTCTGTCTCTCTCTCTCTGTGTGTGTGTGTGTGTGTGTGTGTGTGTGTGTGTGTGTGTGTGTGTGTGTGTGTGTGTGTGTGTGTGTGTGTGTGTGTGTGTGTATTCCTGTTTCCATTTTTAATTAGGTGCATTTCTCTCCCTTTCCAACTTTTATTATTCCTATCCTTCACATGTATTTTATTCTTCGTCTCCCTTTTTGTATTTGCATTGACGCGCTCTCTTCTGCACGTGTTCACAGATTGCAATCATAGCCTTTTACGCAATGTTGTGGACTGAAGACAAGGCTGATTTACCACCAGGGGACAAGGTGAATAGGATGGGGGGGGGGGGGTGTAAGTGGGACACAGTAACACCCATTTGAGGTCAGGCATAAAGAAAAGTAATGTCATGAAGAGAAGATGGCAGTTTCGAAGTATTTTTTTTTTCGTATTTGGATGGCATTAAGATAGAGAATAATAATCATGTATGGGTTGCGGTTATCTAACAGTTTTTGAAGAGACTTGACCATCTAATCGACAGATCCAGATAAAATCGATAAAGAGAGGGAAGACAGGGGGAGTGATATGGCTGGGGAAAGGCACAAACCGACAGCCATTGGGAATAACAAGCAATAAACCTTGATCATAGATGGATCATTACATATTCAACTTTAGACTAAGCACCTTTCGATATATTTCTTTCTTTCTCTCTTTCATGTCAACAACTGCATCCTGAGAGAGTGAACAAGAAGAAAGAGCTAAAAATCGAAATATTAAAACCGACGGGGAGTATACGAGGAAATCTTTCGTAAAGGGAAAGTTTTTTGAAACGAATCGAATACAGTTTGTTTTTTTTCTTCTTCTTTGAAATCGGCGCATGTGTTTCGAAACTAGCGCTAGGAACTGGAGAGTATACTTTTCTTCTCGAATTTTTGAGTCTGCTAACAACGCCAAATTTGAATATAAATGATGTGAATCAGAATTAAAACTTTTACACTGTGACGTCGAGTCCATGATTCAAGAACAAAGATGGCCGTTGCGATGGGGGCAAATCGCCAGTGTTTATTGGTTGGCAGAAGGTCGGCCGGCATTAGCATTGCATTCATTCTCTCGAAGGGGATACACACACATCACATTCATCTTCTGGGCGGTGAATGTAACGTTCGATCTGCTATGAGAAAGCTATACCATCGTAGAGAAGGTCGCTGCTCCAACCCACCTTGGTTATGCTCACCATGTCCTGCATAACAAAATAACGGGCCCTCACTTTACCCACCCCCCTTTCCCCATGCCCCCTCCCCCCCAACAGTACAAGTCCTGTCGCCGACCGTTCTTCGCCACTCCTTCTTCGCCTCCGTGCCATGCCGAGGCGTGCTAACCTGGCCTCTTACCTTTTGGCCTACTTCAAGAGACGATTTCGTTTCCTGGACTCCTTTTTTTTGGCCTGATGTTAATGCTTTTGGTGTTTTGCTTTTGGCCCCGTCTAATGGCTCTTTCTTTCTTTCTTTCTTTTCTTTTCTTTCTTTTTTTACTGCGCTAGGCTATTGTGTACGGCTTTGTAATCGAAAAAAAAACAATAAGAAAATAATTTGAGAGAAGTGAATGCCAAAGCATCCCAGCAAATGCGCATTTTTTACTTTTTGTTCTTCGTGTTATTGTTCTTCAAGAATCTTATTTCTTAAACTGATTTTCCCTTTGTAAACGTGTGCCACTCTCAAAGTCCATTGGAAGTTTACTGTTTACATTTCCCCCCCTTTATTTTCTTCATTAATTGAGATAAATTCGCACAAACCATAGCTTCTTTTCGTACATGATGCCTTTTCCTTCACCGTTTAGTTACAGAAGCAAACCTCAAAACGAATATAAGGTTTCGCGTCCCTCCCTCCTTCACCGCCCCTCGTTCTGCCTGGTCCCCCTTTCCCATCGCTCCCTGCGTCCCTCGCTCCCTGCTGGCTTTCATCCAAGCGACGTCCAAGCGTTGGGCAATAGATGGAGTAGATTAGTGGATTGTGTGTAGCTTTCTTGTACGGAGGTCGCGCGAGGAGACCATGAGGTTCATGTTTATCCGAGAGAAAGGCGACGGCGGCGACGGCGATGGATGCGTCGCGTCGTCAGCGGAGCCGGCGCTGAGGTCGTCAGACGCGAGAACAAGATTCTGTCGTTTGGTTCTCTTCGTTTTTTCTTTTTCTTCTTCTTCTTCTTCTTCTTCTTCTTCTTCTTCTTCTTCTTTTCTTCTTCTTCTTCTTCTTCTTCTTCTTCTTCTTCTTCTTCTTCAATAAATAAGACGCGACAAATCTTATGGCTGAGATTATTTGCGTTTACTTTTGTCTCGTCTGTATGAGATTTTCCCAATTTATTTGTTTGGACGGAAATATTCCACTGCCGTGTACGATTTTCGTTATAGGTCTCGTTAGCATTTTTTTTTTTAAATCAGACGAAGAAGACAAAATTGCCAATGTGAGTTTGAAATAAATATCTAATCGCCTATTGTATCAATTAGGCGATAGCGGAATTGTCCGTTACCTTGACCCTAGTTGGAAGGGGGGTGGGGGGGCACAGTAAAACTTGTCTGTATTGAATGGTGTAATGAACCTTGGCCCTTTTACTTTTGCCCGTAGAAGTCATGGTACGAATGTAGGTTATATAGGTTACCTGGAGAGTTTCAGATCAACACTATTTTCCACTATTTCTTCTAGTTTCTTCGTCAGATAGAATTATCATCGCGGTGCCATATGTCACCAGAAAAGAACAGGCATGAAAACACAATATTCACCTTTGTCATCTAATCCACAGGTGACCTAATGAGCTTTGTTTTTCCCTTCTGTTACAG